TTCTGTTCTATTGGATATCCTGTACATTTTAGGCCGATATGCTCTTTGTTCGTTGTGGTAAAGATGGATAGACATGTGCGAAGTACTGGTTATCCAACTTGTTTGTACTGAATACCTATCTGGTTTGTATGTCTATCTAACTTGTTTATACTGGTTATCCAACTTGTGTGTACTGGGTATCCAACCAGTTTGTATGTCTATCCAAGTTGTTTGTACTGGTTATCCAACCAGTTTGTATGCATATCCAACTTGTTTTGTACTGGTTATTCAATTTGTTTATATTGGATATCCAATTAGTTTGTATGTCTATCCAACTTCTTTGTACTAGTTATCTAACCGATTTATATACCTATCCAAGTTGTTTGTACTAGTTATCCAATTTGTTTGTACTGAGTATCCAACATTTTGAGTTGTTAATGTATATACAGTATTGGTGTTTATATTGGTGGTTTTTTCCCCCTCAAGTTGTGGAAAAGATAACAGCAGCAATGAATTGTCAGGTTATAATGTGATGTGGAGGATGCTTTGCACAAGGAAGTTATATTTGTGAGGACTGTTGATTCAGATACTACTTGCCATCGGAATAATAATTGCAGATATAGGAACATTTTTGTTATTAGAAAACCTTGGTTACGTTAGTATATCTTAGCTGGTTCAAAACAAGCTAGGCTAGGAATTAGGAAATTGGATTGAAGTAGGAATTAAAATGTTATATAATGTAGTTCTAAGTAAGAATAATATACGGAATACTTCTATTTGAAAAAATGAATAGAAAAAAAGTAGTTGAACCTGCGTGTACTATATGGTGTATGTTCCTTGGTGAAAAGGTGATAACAATGCAAATGGAGGAAATATTAAATTGACGGTGCATAGATTGTTGTGCTAAGTGTGTAGAAAAAATTATACAGTCGGTTGGGAATAAAAATCTTTTAACTCAAACCTATCTTTAAGTAACTCTGGTAGAGTTAAGTCACTAGAATTGAGAAGGGGGAGTTCCCTTGTACACATATAAAAGGTAGTAGAACCAATTTATATTTTAACCTCTCTTTCTTTCTGAAATTAAACTACCGTTAGTTTACTCCGTAAATACAACTGACCTCACAAACTTCAAACCAGCCTGGAAGCTCGTTAGAGGATCGTCGAATCAAAGTCGTTCTGTACATCCCCGTAAGTTGCTAAACTTTTCCCCTTTCCGTTCTTTCGTAGATTTGGAGAATTTGAGTCATTGATAGTTGAATAAGTACTTCCTTGGGATTCTTCCATATCATCTGCATGGAATCTTTTGAACCTAATTAAGGTTACCTAGCAATAGAAACTTACATGCGTTAAATTAGTTGTGGTTAAGTTATGATAAAAGAAAGCTTAGTCGTTTTTTTATGATTTGAGAACTGGTTTGCATACAAGCCAAAACTGTGGTGACAGGCATGATTTGATGGATACCGTTGTTGCCCATCGACATTTTTTCTTGCAAACGTATATGGGTGTATGGGTTGTCCATCTGAATTTTTATATTGGTGAGGATTGATTTGTTATGCAACTGGTAACCTGTTTGCCTTGTTTGAGTGAAAACAAGGATGTTGTTTGCGCTTGCAAGGTAGTACATCTCACATTTTCGGAGAACAAATTTCGGTTGGTTCATTACCATCTCCCAAGCTTTGCCGACTAGACAAAATCGACCAATATTTTCTAAGTCGAAATTAATGAACATATTCTCAACTGCATCATGGTGGATATATATATATATATATATATAGGGTTGTCATTTTTTTCTTCTTTTGCTTGCTTCGGGGCCATTGTTTGGTTATGAAATGAGAAGCAACAGGTTGTCGTATTTTTTTTGTTTGTTGATTGTTTGGATGCTCAAAAACAGGATGTTGCCTTTGTAGATGGATAGAAATGTTGGGGAAGTTCTGGGGACGTTATAGATTTTACAACTCTTTTAACTAACTATTTTGATCATAGAAGCGTGTGCGTTTTCAGTTATTCTTTTATTAACTCTCCATCATGATAAGATCTTTAATGTTAGTTAGATAACTGCCTCTCATTCTTTGAATTGCATAAAAAAAAATTTGTGGCTTTTCAATTATCAACAATAACCAGCCTCACTCCTAATAATGTGGTTGGCTTTTTAGATAACTAATTTAATTTGATTTCCATTCGTTTAATCTTTGTTATTGAGATATTGATATATTTTGGTTAAGGAATAGAAGTTCACTGGTACGGTGGATAAGGAATAAACATTGGCTGCATAGGCAGTAAAGTTGCGTAGATAAGAAGTATAAAACATTTGGAGAATCAGTAATTAACTGATGGATATACATAAATATCAGCACATCTCCTCCAACTGCTACTGCTTATCCATGGATTAAGAAAAAAAATGATGGATAGGCACATCAAAGGGACTGAATAAGCAATAGTAAACCAGTGGATATGTGTCGATACTTTAACTATTTTCTTAAAATTTTGATTATGGATAGGGCAGGTAAGATATGGATAAGCAGTACAAAACCATGGGATATGTAGTCATGGTTAACCATTATAAATTCATGAAGAACCTGAGGCAAATGCATTTTAATTTTTTTTAAAAAAATTATTAAATGATATGTTGAAATAGTAGCAGTAGAACATGTAGTTTTCATGTAGACTACCCAGTGTATACAATTCCACAATGTTTTCGTCTGTCAAATTCAGGATACTGAAGGTTTGACGTTTATCAGCTGCTATTATGATTTGCCCATTGGTGTTTGCTTTTCTCGTTGAGAAGATGTTGTACATGCGCGGATGGTTGTGTGGTATTGGGCGCGGACCATTACACACCTATGCTGAGAATTGAATATTACGAAGTAATTTTCACTCAAACCTGTTTCTTGTTTTCATCAATCCGCAGACATGTTGACAACCTTGGAGCATTGCATAATTGAAGTCGGCTGTATAGAGAGTTCTTCTGTCTTCAAATAGTGTTGGATGATGTTCTTTGTCAAAGTATACGAAACAAAAAATTAGAGTAAGACATGGTTTGTTAATGATCAAAAGCTGCGTTGTAGCGGTGTCAAACAAAAGAAGTAGTTCAAGCTATTTTTTGGCGGCAATGACGGTTTTCAAACCTTCCACATCTTGATTTATTGACTAGTATACATATCTATCGATCCAAGTACCATCCTTGGCGATCCTTGGGCATTAGTTTCGAATTCGAGAGCACATGTGATTGATGGCCCCTATATTTCCATCTGCCTTGAATGAGAAATACATGGCTTCCATACCCGCTATATTTTCTCTTTCACGTTACACGATCACTAATATTCATTCAATGAGCTAATGTATCTAAATGATGCCACATATGGATCTCTCACCGGGGACATCTTATGCCGGATTTGCCAAGGTGGAAGTTGAATTCTTCTGATAAGCCCTGTTGTTGGGTTCATTATCTCAACAGCATTGCACAATTTGAAACACAGAAGATCACAATTAGGGCTCAATATCCTTTGGACGCCATTGGCAGAAACACACCTTCTAAGCCTTGTTAGACATGTTTTTGTTGCAGGGTTCTCAATTGTGCTGAAGAAGGTGAAAATGAGGTTGGGTGGTAACTGACAATCTTGCCGGGTATTCATGTTTTGTGAAATGAACAGTATGTGTTCAGTTGAGATATCATTGTGCAAAGAGCAGAAGTTTCTGGGAAAGTTACAATTAGTGAGCAGCAAATTCCATGATTTTGCACGCAACGAAATCTTGCAATGCTTTCAAGATCAAGGTGACGCATTATGCCATCCAAAATTACAGCAGGAATCCTTCCAAACAGAAGATCTGTGTTGTTTTTAGAATAGATGGTTTTGTATGGATTCATATTGGATGGATTCTTTTTTTTTTCCTGAGATTTTTTTGGATGAACATGGATCATTTTTTGGAAGAATCGACTAATTAGTCCCAAGGTATGCATTGTGGGTATAATCTCATCCTTACCTATTTCATTTTGTTGATTTAGTCCCAACTTATTCTTCATCTAGTCAATTTAGTCTATTTTAAGGGGATATGTAAAATTGTTAACAGACTTTTTTTTAAAAAAAAAAACAAACTGGAGGCAGATTAAAAAAAAAAGGGTTGATTACTCGGATTGGTTCTCGCATCCCTGTGCCAAAAAGGATGGGCGAATTCGGTCTGAGTGTTTATCGATCGGGCGGAACTATATGCTCCGGGGAGTCAAAAGTCCCCAAGTGAGCGTATTATGGGGGACCGTCAAGCATATCCGGCAAGGATCAAGGGGGATCCCGTTGTTGCATAGCTCAGGTCGAAGCAAGGTGCTATCAGACGTTTAACAGGCAATCTCACGATCGGACACTCAATTGGTATTTCGGAGTATACTCCTAGTTTGGACAAATTGAAACTTAGGTAAGTGCTTTCTAAACATATGTATAAAAAACTTATTTAATTTAGCTCCTTAATGCTTACTATAAGTAGTTATTTTGGCTTTCTACTAGCAGCTTTAACTATAACCTCGGCTCTATTTATTGGGTTGAGCAAAATATGGCTTATTTAGTAATAAAATTACTATTTGAACTCAGCAATTCATAAAAATAAATCTTTATGTGATATTTTGCTTATTCGATAATTACGTATTGTCCCAACAAAGCCGTATAGCAATAGGGTCACATCCCTCCTGACCAAGGCCTCACTCCTTCCTTTTGATTATGTCAGGACGAAATGGGTCTCCGTGGACCGCCACTCCCTAGACGAAATAAGGGCTTGCTACTTTTAATTAGAAAAGGAAGATGAAAAAAGAGGTCACGATGATTTTCAGGTTCCAACAGACTCAAAAAAATTCAAGGGGTATACCCAAGAGGTAAATTTTTGAGCCAACCAGTGCTGGATAGTATAATGCACCCAATGGGTATACCCAATAGATGGACATGTATACTATCCAATTCCCTAGTTCCATCCCTTCTCGTTTTATTAACATTCATCAGCAAATGCGAATGGCAGAGTATAGGTCTTACCATGTTACATCACCTAGATTTAGTACGTACATAGGGGAAGGATAGTTGGTCCAAAACCAACAAACCCTTTACATATCTGGGCATAATAGCCAATGTAGAAAACATCTCGGACACACCAGAAGATGCTATTTTTGCCAACCTATCAGCTATAGCATTTTCTTCTCTGAATACATGGGATACCTGATAACCATTTCTCTGGATGATCGATGACATTTCATGTAACAATAAATAGTGCTTCCAAGGAAATCCGGAATGACTCCGCAATATATCCGCTAAAACCTTGTTGTCAGTCTGCAAACATACATTTTGAAGATGCAACATCTCAGACTTACACAGGCCAAAAAGAGCTCCAGCAACTTCAGCCATAAAGCTATCACCACCACCCAGATAACCACTTTCTCCATAAACAAATATACCCCCTTCCCGGCATATAATGTAACCATAACCAGCCTCATTCAAAACCGATGATCCATCATAATTAACAATGTAAGAACCTAGATTAGGAGGAATCCATCTTACTTCCTTCAAAGTTGGTGGCGCCTTCCTACACAAAACAGGCCCCAAGCTCTTCTCAAAAAACTCTCGTTCCTCCAAATTTGCAACCTTCAATCCATGCGATTTCATTAAAAGACCCACCTGGTTCTTAATGATATAAACAAGGCTCTCAACTTCCATTTGCTTCCCTTCAAAAAAAGCTTTGTTCCTTACTTTCCAGATTTCCCATAAAATTATCAATGCCAATAACATATGTAAATGCCTATAGCCGAGGATTTTCTAGCCTTTCTCCACCATCTTTGAGGCAACGAGACAGATATCACAGAGTCCGGCATATTAATATTCATCAATCTCGCAAAATGGCTCCAGATTTCATGTACTTTGCAACACCCAAAAAATGTATGCTCAAAACCTTCCCCTTGACTATAGCAAAATAGGCAAACAGAGGGGAGGATTTGAAGTCCCATTTGGCCGAGAACTGCAGGAAAAGGTAACAACTTGTTTCGCAATTTCCATACAAAAAAAAAGAGATTTTTAAAGGCACCTGTTTCAGCCACACATATTTGGTCCATTCCTCAATTGGACTCTTCTTTCTCATAACCTCATACGCCGTTCTGACTGTAAACTCTCCCTTTGGGTTGTGTTGCCAAACCAAAAGATCATTCTTATCCTGAAACTGAAGGTCACAACTAGCAAGAAACAATCTTATATGATCAGAAATTGCATTATGAAATTCAAGCAAATAAAATTGTTTATTGTGAAAGAATGCCTGAATTGAAAGCTCCGGCTCAAGAGGTAGGGCATTATCAACATCCCAAAGAATACCATGCTGCGACCAATTATCAAATCAAAAAAATCCATCTCCCCTTCGAACTATTAATTTTGAGTTATTTATGGCCTTACCCTCAACCTTCGAAATACGACGCCAAGAACTTTTTCTTTTTGCATCATTTGAAAGGGATGATATGAATTTCCCCCATGGACCGCATTTTTGCTTAAGCTTCCAACACAACTTAACTGTCAAGGCATCAATGATAGCCTAAAAATCCCTTAACCTGAGACCATTTTCTAAAACTAGATAGGTTAACCTTTCCCAAGACCTCCAATGCCTCCTAGCTGTTTCACTCGTTCCACTCCACAAGAACCGTTGACATTTCTTTTCCATCTCCCTTAGGACTGATTTTGGTGGAGGAATAGCTGAGAAGACATGAATTGGAAGTGCTGACAAAACATGTCTTAGTATAATAAGACGACCACCCGGACTTAGCAACTTATTCTTCCAACTCAAAAGTTTAGCATCCATACTATCCAAAAGAAACTGGAATGTAGAAGCTTTGCACCTGCCTTGATACAACCGACAACCTAGATAGGTAAAAGGCATTGAGCCCCTCTGAATCACCAATGTTCGATTAATGATACCAATTCTTCTTGGGCTGCAATTTTGAGAAACCATAAAAGCACTTTTCTGCCGGTTAACCTTTTGACCAGGTGCCTGCTCATAGGTGTTAAGGAAAAAGTTCAACTCTCTTAAAGATCTCTTCAAACCCCTAGAGAAAATGATAAGATCATCCGCAAATGCTAAATGGGAAACCACCAAAGACCCCCTTGGCGCTCCAAAATTTGCAACTAAGCCACTATGCGCAAGATGATTAAGTCTCCTAGTCATTGCCTCGGAAACAATGATAAACAGATAAGGGGATAATGGATCCCCTTGTTTGATACCTCTAGTGGATTGAGAGAAGGCAACAGGACTACCATTTATCATGACCAAAAACCAGCTTCTTCGAAGATTAGAATAATCAGCCCAACAAAGCAAGTAGGAACGACAAATTTAAGCATCACCTTCTCCAAAAAGCTCCATTTTTCCCGATCAAAAGCCTTCATCATATCCAGCTTCAGAACCAAATTACTGCCTTCAGCTTTCCAGCCAAGAAATTGGCATAAAACCTGCGCCAACATCACATTATCAATAATGTCACGCCCTTTCAAAAAGGCTGATTGTTCCTCTGAGATGATATTTGGCAACACAAACTTTAACCTCTCAGTCAAAATCTTCATAAGGACTTTATTCAAAAATTTATATAGACTGATTGGCCTATAGTCAGAGAATGTTGTAACTGCAGTCTTCTTAGGAATAAGCGTTATCAAGGAACTTGCTATAGATCGTGGAAGGGGAACTCCCAGCATAAATTCTTTGCAAGCATTCCATAGATCATTGGCAATAATTTCCCAGCAGCTTCTATAGAAGGTTCCTCCAAATCCATCTACTCCAGGAGCTGAATGTTCCCTTAGAGAAAACACCGCCTCCTTCACTTCAACCGCCGCAATTTGAGAGAGAAACCAAACATGCCAACCTGATTCAGAGGCTAGTCTCAACATTCCTTAACAACCTCATTAAAGCCTTCTCTCCGCAGCCACATATTTTGAAATCGGAAAACTCGAGGTTTACTATCACATGAGGGCACAACAAGGTGCAATTTAGGACAATGATCTAATTATCTAAAGTAGTCCAATTTAGGTTCTCAACCGAAGAGGAAGGAAAAAGCTCGTGCCATTCTTTTGTAAACAGAACTCTATCCAATTTCTTACAAACCCATCCAGTACTCCTCGTACCTGCCCATGTAAACTCTTCTCCAATAGGTAACATTTCCATCAACCACAAGTTTCTATACATTCATTGAACTCTGTAATAGCAACTTGATCTTGGACCGAAGAGCCTGAATACTCTTCCAATGACCGGATTACATTGAAATCCCCTCCAATCATCCAAGGGGAGTCCATATACCTCTGTCTAAAATCAACCATACTCAGCCATAATCCATGTCTTCCCAATCTGCTAGACTTGGCATAAACAACTGAAAAATAAAATTTGGTGGGGACCAAACCATGTGTTGCCTCAAAGTGTGAAACTTGATCGTTCCCTTCAATGAAATCGAGAAAGTATTCTGACAAAACATCCATATCTTGCTTGTTTCTGACGAAAAAGCCAAATCAAAACCCAGCTCGCGACTTATTTCTTCTATTTTTGTTTTAACTAGCATTGGCTCCAAAATCATCAAGAGCGAAATCTTATACCTTCTTACTAACATATTCAAATGGCACTGAGAGGCCTCACTCCGAATGCCTCACATATTCCATATTAGATGACCTATGATTGAAAAATATTGGAAAAACGAACCAGAATTATTAAAACATCGACGACCTCCGCAGAATTATTCCATCCAAGGATACTGCCTTCTCAGCCTTCGACTTGCGACCTTGCTTCTTCCTAGGAGAGACTACCCCTTGCGCTGTCTCTTGTGTACTAGGATCAATGTCCTCAGCATCACCTTCAGACCAACTAGAATGATCATCGTCAACCAGCAACATTTCTTCCGTACGCTTCCCAACATTAACATCATTGGAAATCATAGATGGAATTGCGTCGAACTCCTTTTCCAATTCTGCAGCATTAAGGTTTCCAGATTGCGCAGTCTCAATTTCTGGCAATGTCACCCGCATTCGCTCCACTGACAGATGAGGATCTTCTTGGAAAACAACCTCCTTTTCCTCTTCGTCATGATGTTCCAGTAAGGCAAACCGATTCCCAGTCAAATTAGATTCTAGGAGCACATCATTAGTTATCAAAGTCACGGCATCAGCCACCACGTAAGTCGCAGCTATTGCGTTCCCCGTCGATGGCTGCGTTGCAGCCACTATCACAACATTTTCTTGCACTTCTTTTCTGGCAACCACCTTTTCTACAGTCCCAGCAGCTTCAAGACCAGTATTGCCGCCTGCTAATTTGACACAAGATCAGCCGGCACCGGTTTATCAGTCACAACCAGTGCTGGTTCAGTCGCAACTAACGATACAACCTGCGACTCAGGCACAACCTGCTGTGACTTTTCAGTTTGGTTTTTCAGTGGGAAATCTTGAATATCCACCGGAATAACCACTTTATCCTTCTCCAAGAGCTCTAAAGAGGATGTTGTACTCATGCCCGCTGAATGCAAATCCAAATTAGGGTTTCGAGTTTGTTTCAAAATCGTTTTTTGTGGGGCTGCTTTCAGATCAGCTTTGGACTTCGACTCCACCAAATTCTTTGCCAAATCTTTCTTGCAATCCTCAGCCCTATGACCGATCTTGCAACACTTTGAACAATACGACGGAACATGCTCATAGGTAAAGAGATTTTCGTGCTTCTTACCTCTTTTTCCAATCTTCACTGACTTAGGCAATTTCTTCATCAAATCAACCTCTACATAGAATCTTGCAACGGAGGGTCGCGTTAAATTCAATGTAGGTGCATCAACCTTAAGGCGCATCAACCATAGAATATATGACCTTCGGATTCAGAAACTCGATTGGGAGATCCAAAAGAGACACCCCAATAGGAACTATCAGAGGATCCTCTTCAAACTTGAACCCCGGTTTCCACTTGAGAATCCACATCAAAAAACTCGCTACGTTCCAAAAGGTCCGCATCCAACAATGTTGGTAATCTTCTTCCCTTTCAAAACGTATAAGAACATGCCTAGGGTTCATCAAACCTAGGGTATACGATCCATGAAAACCAATCTTTTTGAACTCCCTATGTATTTCCTCCATCTTAGGTCTTCCGTAGGAGAACTTTCCGACCAAACTCAATTGATGAGGGGCTATGAGGCACTCATATTCCTCATCTTCATATTCTAGAACGGCGGTGCCATTTATGAAGGTTACCGGCTTGATTAGCGATCCCTTTTGTGGTTTATCCATGGAGGGTTTGTTAAATAAGCTTGAAAATGCTAGACTTCTCCGGTGGGATTTCCGACCATGATGGCCGGCTGGAAGCTAGGGTTTCTTCAAGGTCGCGTACGCTAGAGAGAGAAGGGGGAATTAGCCAATATCTTCTTACTTATCTCAATTTGGTCTTTAAAAGCTAAGCTATGCCAACGTAACATACGTTACTATCCATATCACCTGTTAACAGACTTTTTAATCCTCCGTTAAGCCATTATTTTTTTTAATAAAAAACTTTCTAACTTCACTTTTCTTTTATATATCTCAGCACCGTCGTGACCGCTACCTCCACCACAGTCTTTGCCATTTTCTTCCCCTCCACCGCCATCTTCTTAGAAATTTAAAGAAGATATTGACAATGTTGTGTTTTTAAGCTTGAAAACGACCGCATCATCGTGCTCCCGTAGTGTTCAACTTATGGGCAATCTTTACATGATCAGTACTTCTTCACATAATTCTAGATATTTTTCCTAATTTATAAAATATAAAAAAATTTTGGCTTTTTGAATGGTGTCCATTTGGGGTCTTATCAAATAGAGGTAAAGCGTTTTTGTGTTTTCTGTAGCCATGGCATCAACCCCTTTGGAAGCATCTTGTTTTGGAAAATTGTAAAAGTGAGTTCTTGTACGATGAGACTTGAAAATCTACTTAAATAAATCAAATTTTCAAATGTGGATTTGGGATTAGAAGTTAGGGATTATTCTTAATATGATTACTTGTCTCAAATGGTTTGGTGCTAATCTCGGAATGAACTTCATATTGTTTGAAAGAGAGTGTATAATTCCAAGGAACGGATATTGGTGGCAGAGGGGTAAAGAGGAGGTGGAAACAGCAAAGGAGTGGCGGTGATTATGCCGGCGGTGGCATTGAGAAAAAAAAATGAGAAAACTGAAATTTTTTATTAAAAAGTTAAATTATCTAACGGAAAAAGTTAAAGAACGTTAAAATTTTTCAGAATCCCATGAAATGAACAAAATTGACTAAATGAAGGATAGGTTGGGACTAAATCAACCATATGGAATAGTTAAGGATGAGATTGTACCCGGAACACATACCATGGGAGTTGCAAGACAAGCACGTGAGTCATAAGGCAGTGTTTTTGTTTTGACTGTGATCAGAGAGAAAGTTAAAGACTTACTTGCATGCTTTTTTTTTTTTTGACTGGTAGACTGAAAAGAGAATATTATAGACTGTGTACTTATACAATGTAACTGTATTTATATGTTGTTTTTTTACTGGTCCAGTATGACTGTACTGTAGGAGGATATTATTTATCCATTATTTTTGGGCAATTATGAAAGTAGTTGGATAACCAATATAAATTGGTTGGATAATCAGTACAAATATACTGGATAAGCAATACAAACGATTAGATAATAAATAGAAAAAGAATAGATAGGCGGTATAATATTTAAAGATAGTGCAGTACAAAACTGATGGATATCCACAACTTTAAAATCATCACTAAATCATTTTTACAAGAGAACTGATTAGAAATTACATGATCAGAGTTCATATTTTCCAAGGTTTATGATCACCGTAATTCTTTGCTCAAATCAACATTTTCTTCTATTTCAGCTGGAGTTTCTTCATCAGTATGTTCGTAAAATTTTTCCATGTCTTCTAGGAGCATTTTCTTGTGTTCACTGAGTGGGTGCTTTAAGATTCGAGTCATATATTCCCATCGGTAACTTTAAATGCTTTTTGGTTTGTTTTTCAGAAGTTGATTCTTGAAGTCCATGTTAGAACCAACATCATACCGCTCCATGTAAAACATTGTGTAGATTGAACAATCTAAGTCATTCTGTTTTTTTTAGCCTATGACAAGGTAGTTTAACCTGGTCACATGAACATGTCCTACACAACATCTCTTCCATAGATTTTCTCAATGAAAATTTATAAGGCTCTAAGCTGCGATGCAACAAAATCCATGGCTCAACAAAATGAAAACAAGTAATTATGAAAGTATAATAATAAATTGGTAACATTGCTGGATTTTTTGCTTACAATGTTGTGTAGTGATGGTGTGTAGTAGTCGGAGTTATTCCTTTTGTTGTCGAATCCTTAAACTGTCCACTGTTCAATCATCAGCACGTACAGAAAGTAATGATGGTTGTGGTACACTAGGAAGAAGATATGATAGTTAACAAGGAAGACAGAATTATACTATAAACTTTTATAGCTGGTTAAGGAAATAAATAGGGGCAACATGTTGCTTACAGCATCTGCTGTTATCAGGGCATCTTTTATTATGTCTTGCTCCTACAGTTCAAGTTGTGTTCTCTCTTCAAACTCCTGCTGGAATGTTTCATGCTTCTCTTCTTTGTAGGCACCGATATGATCATGCATTATTGTTTGAGATAAATAGAGAACAATATTAATGGAATGACAATTGGAATGGAAATGCATGCTCTATTTAGATGAATTACATATAGAGTTACGGTGAAGAATATCCTTTTTCAGTTACCCTTGCTGGCTTCTTCGGAGTTTAGGATGATAGCTCATGCATCTATGATCTGGTATTCCACCCGTTTTCCTTCCCTGATGGAGTTTAGTGTCTTCCAGTCTGTGGTAATTAGTTGTTTGTATTCGAACAAAGGTTTTTAGTATAGAAAAGTAATTAAATGAAATAAATACTGGAGTATTGAAACACTAGTAAGTATTTTTTTACAATTAAGGATAGTGATCATTACCCTTTTCAAACTATATCTTCTTTTCTTCCTGCAAGGAGAGCAAATTCTATCAACAACGCATCTTCTTTGGTCATTTCAATGTTCTCCTATGTCCACTGTTCGAAATTCTCTTATTTTTCTTCTGCAGGCAGAATAGTGACCTGAACATGCAGGCAACTGGTGGACTCTTTGTGGATATCTCCTCTCAGGATTCGGATTGAGGATCCTGGAATAAAAGAGAAAAGAGAGTTGGTTTGTATTATTATTATTATTATTATTATTATTATTATTATTATTATTATTATTATTATTATTTGTTTACTTACTTTTCCAATGTTTTCTGTAAGTCTTGATTATGTTTATCTGCTTTCTTTGAGATTGGGAGAGGTGGCATGGTATATTCATCGTACGGCGACATCAGTTTATTCCAATCGGGTGCAATTGCTTTTAAAGGGGTTATGTTGAGCACCTGTGGGTTCTTTTTGAGCTTCTTCTGTATCTTCGGCCATCACTTGTAGTTTGGGTGCATTGCTTGCAGGTTTGTCAAGGATTCTAGCATCATGACATGAGAAGGATGCTGATGCAGTGGCCCTTTTTATGACATCACTTATGGGAGGATTGGGATTGGTTTTTTTCTTCAATTGCAGCTGGAACATGATCTTCATCACCATCAGATTGATTTTGTTCAATGTGTCCATCATTTGTCTCTATATCCTCTGTTGGATGATCAACAGCTTGACCATCCTCAGGTTTTCTCTCCTGGGTCTGTGTATCCTCCTGAGTTGTACAACAATTACCACTAGTATCGGTCGGGGTGAGACCCAACCCAAATGATGGGATATCACTTGGTTTCTCAGATCTCTTTGTTTTGCTCTTTGATCCACTTGATTTGGTGGTCCTCCTCTTTCTTGTGTAAGTTCTTGCTCAATGTTTATCTGTTACATATTATATATATATATATATATTTATATATTATATCTATATATAAGGTAGAATATAATGACAAAAAAATGGATATGCAGAACAGATTAAAAGGATAACAAGTAAAAACTTGGCGGATAACTAGTATAATCATTTGTCATTTTTCTTTCGCATAGGGGGAATCGACAACTACGGGAAGTATGATGCATAAGCAATAAGAAATGGATGAGAAAAACTACATTACGTGGTGCTTCAAATGATTCTTTATCAACAACAACTTGTTTTGCAGGAGGCATGCATCCATGTGCTTCCACACCACCCTCATCATTTGCTGGCTCAGTTGCGATAGTCCCTGAGCTTTGTCAATTTCATAGTCCGAAAAACTTCTGGGATTAGGTGGAGGTTGTGCAGTGGTTTTACAAGATTGTTAGACATGAGCTTGCTACTGTTGTGGTTGTTGTTGTTGATCAGCTACTCTTTGTTGCAGCTGTTCTATAATTATTGTAAATATCTTTGCAGTAGTTTGTATCCTCATCTTGCCCAATTCTAAAATCTGCGCTTCCTGGAAGTCTTTGTTCTAGGGGTTGTTGCTGCTTCTGTAATTGCTGTTGGTCCTCTCGCTGTTGGTGGACCTATTGCTGCTCTTGCTGTTGTTGCCATGTCCCTGAAGGTACCCTTGTATTCATCGACACATTGCTTTTGTTAAGATCTTGATTTTTGTCTTTGCTTGTTCATCAGCTTCGATGTTTAACTCGATTTCCTTACGTATCTCTATGATAGCAACTCAAGAACAAAACAAATGCTTAAACGAGTATCAACTTTGAATATTGAATTGGACAGAATATGCAGCGGAATGATGACAAACTCGAATACTTATTTAAATACCAGAGACGCAGAAACGGATGATATTTGATCTCACATGGACCAATTCACGAGTTCAAAAGAACCGACAACCCAATTCTATCCGATGAGTAGAACTATTGAATTTCAGCAAGGCCCCTTCTATCAATCTAACAAGAAGAGCTAATAGGTATTGATCTATAACCCTAAAAGTATCAAAACCAAAAGACTATGTTGCTATAGATGCCACTTTCCAGTGAACCACACAAGAAAGATAAATTTTAACGATCGTCACTACTCAAAGCAACAACCAAACAATTTGCTCTACACAAGAACAAAAACTCAGAAAGGTTAACACCTCACAAAATCAATTCAACTCAGTACATAGAACTCGAGGTGCGACCCCTCCCTTTTATAGGGGTGGTTGGCCGAATTTCCAAGAGAAGAAATAAGACACTTTCCTTAATTCTACGAATTCAAAGTGAAATTGGACTCTTTGACTCTTAATTTTCTGTATGACCAAGAAAATCAAACTAGACTCTTCCATAGACCTAATACATTAGATCTAAGTGTGAAAAGAATTTAACACGCCTATTACTAAGGAGATATTCTCGAAAAAAAAAGAAGCTTCCTTGCATGCGTCCAAACTTTGTGGCGAAGTAACCTCCTTCCTTGAGCTCCACTCAACCAATATCTGCCTTGTAAAGTATTTATTTGCCAAAAATAAATAATTAAATAAAGAGGTGGCCGAGATTCCTCCCTATGATGTAGGAATGGAAAGAATCTTGGCTTCCTTAACCCTTAAGCTAGGGTTAGGGCACGTGCAAGCTCCATATATGCGGCCATGGGCTCTTAGCTCATCAACGGGCCTTGAGTTGTGCCTCCATCTAGGTCC